AAATGGAAACATGCGTTTTCAAAAGGCTTAGAATATAATCTGGGGGGTTTTTATTATTGGATTTAAAAACTATCATCTGTACTTTTTGCTTCTAAATTATTTTATTTAGAAGGTATGTCAAAATAAAGAGGCAAAATAACAATAAAAGTATAAAGAAGTATTTAGCACCTGTCAGACCTTGTTATAATTCACACTGTCAAGCTAGGAATCACAGTCCCATGTAAAAGTGATGATTTGAAACCTTCTAGTAGTATCAAGAACAAGTTTTACTTAGTTTACAGTACTTGCTGGATCTGCTGTCTGTTGGAAGTGGTGAGAAGCACAACCAGCATTCAGGCAGACTTGCAACTGATTCGCAATCCAGCAGCCAAAACAGACATTATCTTAATTACTGCAATAAAACTGAAAACAGACCATCCTACTTCCTTGCGTATCTGTGACATGACAATCACTATTTTCCTGGATCAAACCCTATATATCTGCAGCTTTCCACCACTGCTGCTTGTAATCCACAACTTCATTAGCTGTTGACACAGATTTATATGTATTCCACTACTGTTTTGAGATAACATATAACAGTAACGATTTAGCTACTGTACTGCTGTGACATTCTATTTTCCTAGATTAATGAGGGAGCTTGCAGGCATTTCTTACATCAAGAAAACAGCAAAATTTCGAAAAAGTTGATGTCCCAAGAAGCTACATGATTTGAGGTACTATTATTTGCAATATTCTCCTTATGCAAAACTCACTTCCCTCCTTGTGTCTGTGTTATTGCTAGTCCACTGTACTGCTCTTAGGGAGAACATTCTTCCTTACTGATTAACCCTTACACTGCACTACTGCTGATAGTTTCCTCCTGCTATTTGCATTAACTCTGTGGTTAATACAAATTTCTTCATTCATACTAATGGCCAAAAGTGAAATAAGACATTAACAATAGTCCTCCCTAGAGAAACAACTAAACTTTTTGGACAGAAATCTTAGTTCCAGACACTAACAGGGAAAAAAGTGATATAGATTCGATGAATGCTGGGCAGTATATGAAAAGACAGGAAAATAAGCAAGGTCCTTGCTATGCTGATGAAGGACTTGCTATATATTTTCTTTCTTAGTCTTCACTCCTGCTTTTAGGGAAGGGTGAGCTGAGGCAGCATGGCCATTTTTTTATTAATGCTCCTTGCATTCTATGTCTGCTCATTGTTTTGTCTCGTGTTTACAAGCCAAGCATGTTCCATATCTGCATTCAGGACTCAAGGGCCCAAAACAGGCCTTATATCTCTCATAGTTACAATAATAAACTCTGGAAAACAAGGCTGTAATCCTGAACAATGCTACTGGACATCTGAATTGGACATGAATTGCAAGACAGATTTGTATGACTATATAAACCACTGTTACTCTGTAAAAAGTCTATTTAATATTTTGTTTTACTTCAAGTTAATAAAAATGTCTCTGTTTTCAATTCTGGCTATTGTTGCCCTGAATGGTGAGCAAAAAAACAGTTAAGCATTATCATGGCCACAATTTTCATGCCTAAGTATCAAATGCCAGGTTCGTCTTTTGCTCAGCAAAAAGACATAGCTCGATATTCAGATGTGCTGCATTTACAATAAGGGACAATACCCTATTTTCAGCTCTCATACACTTTTTTTAACTCATCCGGGAGAAAGGAGCTCTCACCTCCATTGCTATCAATGGATGCAACACAGCAAAAGAAAAACGGGACTTCTGGTTGAAGGTCTCAAGTCACCCTCACTGATTCTCACTGTATAACAGATGAGGGTATAAAAATTACCAAAACAAGGTTCACATGGGGTTACAAGTTATTAATGTCTTCAACAAATGATCTTTTATATGTATTACACAGTGTTTGGAAAAATGTGCTATTAGATCCGCAGCAAAACTTCAATTAAAAGAATCAATCTAGCATTTATTAGCCAGCATCAAAAATGATCATTTGAGAAGTAAGATCAATATCAAAGTTAAATCTTTTTAAAGACCTTGACCATTAATGAAAAGAAAATCCTTCTCTTATTATATGTTTATAACACATGTTCAGAATGGATTCCCTCATTTCAGTAACTTTTTATGATATTAAAATTGAGACTCCTCCAATTTATGTTTCTACATTAGCAAGACCTTCCTTTATTGTATCTAACTCCATGATTTTATACTTTTTTTCCTAAGTCTACCATGGGAATAAAAAAAAGTATCTTAGTTTATGTCTTAAAATTTTATCAGCTACATTATATCAACCATACACCTCATTTAATACTTAATGCTGACATACATATATGATACACTTTGAGGCTATTTTCTAGTAATCGTTATTGTTGTGATAACTTGCCTGATGCAGAGGTACGTGCAGGTAGGTACTTGACTGATATCTCTTCCCTGCCTATAAAATTATTTTCTATGAAGTAACTGTCCAAATAAACACTGGGTATCTGAATTGAGCTTGGTTTAGAAACATCCCGCTAAATTTGGGAGTTTTATGAAATGTTCTTGCGAGGAAGACGGGAAAGTCTGGATTGACAGCTTTTCCTACATCAGAGCTCCAGAAATGTCCTAACATACTTTCAACCCACAGGACAGGATCTTTCAACTGTTTAAAACTTGAGTTAGAGTTTTTAACTTCTGGCCCTGTGGGGATATTGCAGATTAGAGTCCCAGTGAAGTTCCTAACGGCCTGGTGGTGTCTGAAAGGAGGAGGATTACGCAGCGCTTGGACATTCCTAGTTCATAAAGGATTTCATTGTTGCAGGCACTGTGGATGGTTGGAGAGCCCTGAGGTAGTTGTGGTGTGTTAGCCACCCAGCGTCTACTGTCCTATCAGCTTCCTGCTATGCCGCTCAGTGGCAGAGCATGCCAAGATATGTGCACAGCATAAAGAGCACTGTATAAAAATACTCTAATGCATTTAATATGGAATGACAACATTTTGTATGAAAAATAACAGACTGAAAGAGTTCTACCGGAAAAAAGCAAATTAATTTTGTGCCCCCCCCCCAATCACCATCCAGGAGCATAAAGAAGTTCCCAACCTGGAAACATTCTATATAGGAGGATATACCAAAAGAACAACTCAAAATTCCTCTTGTAACAATGACGAAAGCCTGATATCATTTTGGCAAAACTTCTTTTCATGCTGCAGCAGCAGAGCACTGGTAGTACTTACTAGACTTTTTTCCTCTTGGTAACAACTTCAGAAGTATTATGATCAGAGTGCTTAGTTACAGAGAAGCCTAATATGGCGTGTTTGTTTGGTGCTTAAGCATGTATCAACTGAGTTGGAGAATGAGAAATGCTGGATTTTGACTAAATAGGCTGCATTGCCTCCTACTACTCTTTAGCACGAATGAGAGAGGCATCTGTATTTCTCACAAAGAGAGGCCACCTTTTGTGCTGCAGATCATGTATCACACAACATGTATTACTGTATTGTGACATATTTAAGAATTCAATAAATTTGAGCTCTGTTTCTGCCACCTTAATCTGTGTTTGGCAATACCTTTTTCTATTTAAATCACCTTGAATACTAAGGACTTCTGTAACACAACAGAATTACACTCTGCATTCACTTCTTCAATGAGAATGGGCTCAGGTGATGAAAGACATTTAATTTAAACTGCCCTTCTAACCAGTTACACCAAAGCTTTTGATCTAAAAGTGAAAGACAACAGTTTTGAAATCTCCAAGTTCATTCCTCTCATTTCTTTTCATGCTCAAATGAACAATCCAACCTAGAAATCAGGAACAATCAGCACCTTTGGAGATAATCCAAAGCATTGTTCTTACATCCAGGTAGTAAGATCAGATAATTTTTGGTGTTAACTGTGAAGAAAAATACTCAACCCTCCAAAATTATTGTTCTGCTACAAAGCACAGATGATGCTGGAAGAACTATGCACAGTGCTGTATTATTTTGGCGTGCAAAGATCTCTATTATTTGGGTGAAGCGTGTGCCTGCTTCAGAAATTGCAAATATTATATTACTCACTCTTGTAGCTAGAATTATTATTCCACTAAGAGAAGTGCGATTTTTTTTTTTTTTTTTTTTTTGGTATGCATTTGACTTTTGGCAGCGCTGTCTTGGAATGTAAAATGCCAAGTTGGCAGCTTTCAGCAAGGGAAATTTCAGTAAGTTGGGATGGTCTCTTTGGGCTCGTATTTCTTGCAGTTCTTTTTCCATGCGCCTGTGTCCCTGAGTTACCAGCAACAGCTCTTACCTACAGCTTTGTTTCTTATTTTATGTTTTATTAACTCCAGTTTTTCAATCCTAGCATCATTTTACCCTCCAGGAATTCATTGTAAAGTTATGTCAACCTTGTCTTTTCCTGAAATGTTTAAGTCTAATGGCAGTAGGTTCCAGTATGTGCACCCCAAAGCTCTGAAATTTTGACTCTCACAGTGTCAGGCTGTCCTATGCTGCAGATTATAGAAGTCCAGATTTGCTGGCAGACACATACCTCATGCTCACTCCCCACAACCCTGGTTAGGTTATGATAACAAACATTTTGCATTAGAAAATTCCCTGGTAAGTCTAGTAATACTTTTCTTTACAGAAAATACAATTCCCTTACTAACAGTGGTATTTTAAAGAATAAGATTGCTCTAGAGACAGATCAATTAAGAGTTGATTTTAGCTGATAATAAAATACATCTTGAAGTCCTTAGGACTAGACACTTAAAATTAGCAGTGATAAAACCCTCTCTGTAATGATGAGTAAAGAAGATAAAGTTTGCAGTTCTGATAGATGACTTAGAAGAATCAAGACTCAGTGCAGGTAACTAATTACAGTTCAATGGTGAAAGGGTGAGCAGAGTGTATTTCCTGCACTGTTTCTTTACTGGTTATTACTGTGTGACTAAGAACAGTTCTGTTTAACAGCCTCATCAGAATGCTCGCTTCCATGAACACAGTGTTGGCACAGGGTTACAACGGCTGCTGCCTATATGATGAACATATGTAGAGATGACAGACCTAGCACACCTACCTTCCATTGACAGCAAAACATAGTTGACATATTCCATGCAACACTGCTGTGGCATTTTGTAGAAAAGTTGCTATTTTGGGATTCTCATCAACAGGGCCTTGAACGGAGAGGAAACAGCAACACAGCTTGTCTATCAACCCTATGTTCACCACGTAACTAGAAACAGAGAAAAAATTGTATTAAAAAAATAGTCCCGTGCCAGTTTTGGTAACTTTGCAAAGGAAGTAATTGCTGCTTCTCTATTATCAAACCATACAAAATGCAGGTTGTGATTACTTAAATACTCTTTCTGAAAGGGTTCAAACCAATTCAAATTACAGTAACTTCAGATCTGGCTCTCTCTAACTATCAGTAGTTTTTGTTAAGAGATCTGTCTGTTGTAGGATAATTTGTATTATACTGTACAAAAGATGAGTGTAAATGTTTATTTTACCATACTTCTAGAAGGACAATGGAATTTTGCCATAGTTAAATGATTTATAATAATCTTGATAGCTCTGCGGCAGCACAATTTCTTTTTAGCATGAAGAGATAAACTTTGTAGAACACACTAATTCAAGACGACAATGATGTTACCCAGATAACGTTTTATTGCAATACGTATATCATAACAACTACTGCCCAGTTGTTAGGTCTTTTTTTCCTTTTTAAAATATACGCAACAGCTACAAGAGTAATAGAACATGCAGGTAACAACCTCCTACCATCAGTATAGAAGATCAGAACCAGAAAGCCTCCTCAGGAGCTCAACCAAAACTCAACGCAGAGAAAACCATGCTAGGGACTTTTTTTTTTTAAAAAAAACCCTGAAAACTCCTCTTTCTTTTTTATTATCAGAGTAGCTCAGATCATCATTGCTGATCATCAGATCACTACTGCTGAAGTTTCTTCTTTGAATTTCTAATAGCTTGGAAACCTACACCAAAGATTTTGCTGGTTGTCCTTGGACCAAGATGTCTCTGTCCACACCAGGTTCTCTCATACTTTGATCATTATCAACTCCACTTAAAACTGTGCACACAACTTTTTTTTTTTTCATGTCACTTTGCTGATATCAACTAACTTCACATACTTTTTCTACCATAAACATTCAGCTTTTCAGACTTTACTCTGTCTCAGCTGTTCATTCTGCTGACTTATGTGACATCAACTTCCTCTGTGGAGACAAATATCCTGCTGCAATCACCTCCTCCTTCTCTTTATCATCTAATTTTCTTTGTACTTTCCTCCACTCTTATCAAGACAGAGAAACTTCTTGTCAAAATCAGAAGAACTGCTGTTACATCCTGTGTGACTCCACCTGACTTAACAGAGATGAGGAACAAATTGCTTTCAGACACCATCAACTGATTCACTGTTTTTACACTGGTAACCTATACTAAACCATTCTGCTATTAATATTACTCCATCCTACCAGCTGTTCTGTCTACTTGCTTGTCAAATCCACTTGTTAGAGATTGCCTCTTTGAGCATAGGCTCCTTGAAATGGGAACACCATTGGCTATATGGTTCCATAATGTCAAGACCACCCTGACTTGATGAAGTATGGATCATTATTAAATAATAATGATTCTAGTAAATAAATAATACTGATTAGATAATGCTTGTCCCAGGAGCTGTACAAGTATTTACTAAAAGTAACTATTCCCTCACATGTCTTACAGCCTGATTCTGAAAAACCAGGGACTTTTAAGATTAGGAAAAGAAAAAAAAAGCCTCTCCCCTTTTCAGACACTGTTGTTTCTCAAAGACTAATCTCTCTTCAGGGCTAGAAGCTAGACTTTCTGCCAAAGTTTACCCTGGTGACTCAAAGCTTTTGGAAGCAATGGAAGTAATTAAGAATAAAAATACACAGAATATAAAGCAAGAAGTCTGACTGCAGTATGAAAGATTTTTAAAGCTGCTAAAGTATAGCAGTTAAAAACACTTAAAGACACATGAAGGTTATTAACTGCACACTCATTGCTCAGGTAAGTTTGATTCATCTGCTCTACTTAGCAACATGAAAGGTTACCAGCATTAGGTTTCTTGCAGATTTTGATGTAAGCAATTCACCTGAGCATACAGGTGATAAGCAAGCTTTCCTGGAATTATTCGGCTAGTATGGGAGCAGAGCTGGGTGTTAGATATATCACAGTCACAGAGAAATGCTGAGTGCTAGAAATCTCTTTGTGAAATAGGAGGGGAAAGGAAGAAGTAAATAAAATACAGCTAATACTGATGATTACTCACAAAAAGGTACAATCATGCTCATCAATATTCTCTTTCTTTTTCCCTAGGAACATCTCTACAGTCTGAGTGACATCTGCAAAATGTGTTTTTTGTCCCCCTTCCTTTACACCCACACCTGGATACAAAGCAGCTGCTCTTTTGGCAGAGAAAAAATGGATGAGCCCCCAGTCTACTGAGGCTATTCTTCAATGGCTTCCAGAGACAATGAGAAGACGCATGAAGCACTCCCTTCCTTGAAGAACTGAGCATACGGACAAGTGGAATGTCAAAGCTCTCTAATCTATTGCCTCCATTTCTGAGTCTTTTTACCTATGGTAGCGTATTTCCAATAATTTGGCTACCCTTTTGAAATGCATACAGTATGTAGATAATTGTTGTTTATGCATCAGGTATAGTTGTCCCAAATAGAAAAAAAAAAACCCTTTTATTTCAACTTTCCTTTTTCTTCCCCCATTTTCCTAAAACTCTCATTTAATCAACTCCACAAGGACACATGATACAATGACCTTGAGGTGAAAAATTCTCATTAATAATAGAATTTGTCTGGTTTTGACTAGTTTAAAATGCCCTCTCTTTTTTTCCTAATTGCACTATTACCTTGTCATCATGCCTTTCATTCTCCATTTATAACCAGATCCCCTAAAGTGCCTCAGGTGAAGGACCTAGTTGGATTCTCATGTATCTTCTTATCTTAAGGGTATGCCTGTGCTTGGCCCAGTCAGTGTCAGATGTCTGGTCAGCACAAATATCAATAAGCAGACCTCCCACCCTCCCATTCATAAATGGAGAGAATACAACATCCTGAAATTTCACGCTCTTTCAAAACCTGTTTGGGGAGAAGGCGGGTTACATGAGAACAATAAAGTTTTAGAAGTCACTGGTATCTATGACAACTATTTGTTTTGCTTTCCTCCTCCAGCTGTCTTCTTTTGTATCCATCAGCATCATACCAGACTTTGAAAAGTCTGAAGATGCTCACATTTTCAGTAGCATATAATCAGAATTTCATTTCTTCAGAGGGCTGAAGATGTATTGATGACTATTTATATAATTTACTAGTGAAACTATACACTTTTAGCAAGTTTAATATATTGTTGGATATACATTAGTTTTATATATAGAAATAAATTAGATAT